GGAATTTTTATTGGAAATTGCCTAGTAGAATTTGACAATTATACATGTCCTACAACAATAAATAATGCCACCGACAACCCTGTCGGGATAACCACACCTTACGTAAGATTAGAGGACACTACGGCGGGCGATAATGACAAAGCGCCTAAAAAAATCAAGAACATGGAGAAGCAGAAAACGAAGTCTCAGAAGGATAAGCTTAAAGAGCAGAACAAGTCTCGAGAATCCGTTATCGGGACTCTGAACAAATCTAAGGATGAAACGGAGAAGAAACAGACCAATTCAGGCGAAAAATCCAAGGAAGCCGGAAAATCTAAAATAGCGGCAAGAGAAAAAGAAAACACTCCAGTCATACAAAACATTATCGAGCCAGGTTAAAGCGCCAGATCAAAGTACTCTTAAGGATAACATAAAAATTAAAGATGGTAACCATGACACGAAAGAATTGAGCTCCAAAGGCGAGGAGAAAAACCGGAAAGGTAGTACCAAAAAGGAGCTGAAAGATCAACCTTATATTACCGACGATAGCCACGTTAATCATAACAAATCTGATACTAAGACTAAGCACAAGAACAAAGCAGGCAAGAATATGAAAGAAGGTAACGGAGAAAGCGCAGGTAGTAGAGTTCAGCAACAAACGAATGTTCCGAGCGATGACACAAAAGAGAAAATAAATATCGTCGACAAAAGCAGCTTGATGGAAATTGCAAAATCATCGGACACTCAAAAGGCTCCGTTGGAAAATATAATTGAGAGACCAAGCGTGACTACGAAAGCCGAAAGCACGACAAGACAGAAAGACACGTCGAAGAAAGAACCATCATCGAAGAGCAAAACAAAGTCGAAAGAACTGAAGCTTGAAGTCGAGGGTAATAATAAGAATCGGGAGAAGTTGGAAAACGGTGTTAAAGAGATGCTCAAAAATAGTTCTCCCGAATCCAACAAATCGCTGGTTGATACTGAAGTCAAAGATCCGGAGCCAAAAGTGCTCGACAGCGCAAAAGTTGTTGAGGTAAACGGCAACGTGAAAGGTAAAGCTAATTCGCACAAAAAAGATAAAGCCTCAAAAGGTAAAATAGAAACAGAAGTCATTATCGATCTTATGTCATCGACAGTGCCAACAAGCGAAATTTTAAATGAAACGAAAAGTTTAACGTATTCAGATAACGCAGAGAAAGTGATTGTCCCGAAACCAGAGCAAATAACCGAAGAAATTTCGAGAATTATAGAGACGCCAACAACAGTTATTAAGGAAACCGATTTTAAAGAAGAGCCCAAGGAAATCGTCTTGTCGCCTAAAATAAATTGGCAAACTGAAGAAATAATACAAACTGATATCATACATAAGAATGATAAAATAGAGCGCAATGAAACTGAAGCTAAGGAGTCGATTGAAAACAAAAGAAAGGAGTATCGTCAAACGGACGCTAAATTAAAAATAGAAAGGGCAATGTCCCCAGAGAGTCCGGAGAAAATAGGTGAGAATAAAGCTTTCATTAGTGATACGAACGATGAAAAAACTGAGAAGCGAGAAACGGAGAAAGGTCAGACGAAAACAGGCAAACAGAAAAGATCCGATAAAACGAAGTCTAATACGCAAGATACAGATAAACTCAAGATAGACTCTTCATCCAAATCTTTAATCGAACTTATAGCGGAAACTTACGCCCAACCAGCGGAGGAAACACATTTCGCTAAAGAAAACGTGTCGGTAAGCGACAACAGCTATCTTACTCAGTCCAAATCGGATGCCAAAGGCACCGACGTTAAAACGTCTGTTAAAACAGACGAGAAAGGAATGACGGTAAATGTTCAAGATAATAAACGCGCGCCAGAGGCTACGTCAAAGAATAAGAAAAAAGGTAGGTTAAAGGATAAGTCGAAGGACGCTCAACAGGCGCATAATACGAAATGCAAGGAATTAAAATCGAAAGATGAAATCAACACAGGCTCATTAACACAACGAATTTCACAAATACAAACCTACCTCGTCAGAACACAAAAAATATGTGATACACAGCAACAGATAGGCACAACGTGGCAAATGTGCACTAATTTATATAACCTAGCCGATAAAGATTTACAACGCGCAAGAAAATTAACCAATAGCATAAACAAAATGTATAAGTCCACTCCAAACTTACGTCGTAGATTAATAGATGGAGTAGGTTTAATAGACAAATCCTTATTTGGAACGATGGATGCCGACAACGGAAAGATTATAAACAAACAATTACATTTATTACAAAACAAAGAGGAAACGATACAACACGCAATAAAAAATCAGTTACAAATTCTAAACGAAACTATAGGACACTTAGGTAACTTAGAAGAAACATTAGACAATAATTTCAAAATAAAATGGAATAGTATGAATCAATTTTATAAAGAAGAAGCAGAAATCTACAAAAAAGAACAAATTACTGAACAGTACACGATACTTAACGCAGTAATAAACGACCTAACGAAAGACATAATATCATGCATAATGACATAATATCATACATAGATAACGCCAAGTTGGGAAGATTACTACTCCAACTTACACCCATTGAAAATATAATCGCACAACTTAAGAAATCAACAATACACTTACCTAAAAACATATATTTTCCATTCACACTTGCCATGGAGCACTGGCTAGAAATAGAAAAATTCATCAAACTCAGCGCATACTACAACAACGAAACGATTTACACAATTTTGAAAATTCCTCTAATAACATATCCCATCTACACAATTATCAACACTATATTCTTCCCAGTACACAAAATAAACAGCACGTTCATGTTAACAGAAACAATATACTCTAAATTCGCGATAGATACAGAATCAAATACTTACCTTACATTACACGAAAGCAAATTATTAGAATATATTCACATAAAAAATCACTACACGTGTGCACAAGAAAACACAATTTATAAAATTCACCAAACAACACCGTGCGAAATCCAAATGTATACAGACACAAGAAATATGTAAAACAAAATATATCACCGCCGAAAACACAATTTTAATCCCTTTAAAAGGAAAAAACGGATGGTTATACTCAACACACAACACACAACAATTACGTATATATGATCAGAATAACAAATACCAAAACAAGATAACAAAAACGGGAATAATTACACTTAAACAACAATGTAAACTAACTATAAAAAACATTATAATACAATCACAGGAAATAATATCAAATAACATATTAGAAATATTTATACCAAACTATAACCTGGCAATTACACCGGAAAACACGGTAGAAAATATAATTACAACACCAAACATAAATTTAACAAAAATATCGCAAAACTCGTCCGAACTACTACAACTAAAAGCGCAACTAGACAATATACAAGAGAAGCTAGACCAAAACCCATGGTCAAACCACATAAATATAATTTACACCACTACGCCCAGCGTAACAGTATTTATAATTTTAATTGTAATAATAATGATAATAGTAAGAAAAATAAAAAAGAAAACACAACCCTTTTTCACACCACTACCTAGTACCGAAAACAATGTAAGAACACGTTCTAAACCAATAATACCCACAATCCCTGCGCTAGCACGCAGGCACAGCTTATACGCATAAGGTAGAAATAGTACACGATTGTAACTACATTTATATACGGGAAAACAAATTTATAACACGAATACAATATAATAAAGTATAACAAGTACAAACGATTATAACCATAATTGTAAACGGAAACAAAAAAAAAATGTATATAGAATAAAGTTGCAAAAACCTCGCTAGACACTCCGTTTTCTTTTCCCAAGGGAAAACCTAAGGATGTTATAATCGCGAATAGTATTAGCGTTTTCGAAACACTTCATAAGGAATCGTTTCGATTGCGCCACAACAAGGAAACGGATGTGCAAGTGCTGCGATAAGCACCACTTTGCACATTCCGCATTTCGGACCTCGATTGGAAATGCATTAAACCATTACCAAATATAGTAATCTTCTTGTCGCCAGGCACCCTCTCCGACAAGACTTAACAATATTATAAAAGAGCGGAGAAGACCACCCGCGTCAGACTTAACACCTCGGTCTCTCGCCGCGACATACACAACCGACACGCGGTTCGCACATTACATTATTAGGGTGTATATCAGTTGGACACGGGGCAATTGGACACAGTCCAATCACAAGTCGCTGATCCAAGGGACCCTACAATCTCTAATCACACGGTGCTGTGATTGGCTGTGTACAAATGCACCGTGTCTAAGTGCACCGCTCCCGATTTTTTATTGCTTAGCTTTAGGAAGTTATTGGTTACGCTTTACGCGAATTTAACAAAATACGCGCCATGGGAATTATGGCTCCTCACAAATTATGACACAGGACACGGTAATGCTTGCCGCGCGGCAGAAGTCCGAGCGACAGCCAATCAATATGTTGTTTTTCCGTAAGAGCTAGAAGGTTATTACGGAAAGCAGCATATTGATTGACTGTCGCGCGAACTCCCGCCGCGCGGCAAGTATTACCGCGTCCTGTGTGCAGGAGCCATAACTTTAAAGGTGTCTCTCCATGCGGCGTAACTTGCGTAAGCGTAACTAGCGTAATATAGTAATTTACTAGAAGTTACGCTATTTTGCAAGTCGACATTCAATATCTAATGGCTCCTGCACACAGGACGCGGTAATACTTGCCGCGCGGCGGGAGTTCGCGCGACAGTCAATCAATATGCTGCTTTCCGTAATAACCTTCTAGCTCTTACGGAAAAACAACATATTGATTGGCTGTCGCTCGGACTTCTGCCGCGCGGCAAGCATTACCGTGTCCTGTGTCATAATTTGTGAGGAGCCATAATTCCCATGGCGCGTATTTTGTTAAATTCGCGTAAAGCGTAACCAATAACTTCCTAAAGCTAAGCAATAAAAAATCGGGAGCGGTGCACTTAGACACGGTGCATTTGTACACAGCCAATCACAGCACCGTGTGATTAGAGATTGTAGGGTCCCTTGGATCAGCGACTTGTGATTGGACTGTGTCCAATTGCCCCGTGTCCAACTGATATACACCCTAAAAAATCAGGCTTTCTATTGTACAATATAACAGAAATATTAAGTTGATTCTCGATTGGTTGTTATTATTTAGACGTATTGTTAAATACGCGCCATGGGGTTATTATTTAGACGTATTGTTAAATACGCGCCAAGGTACTTTACATGTAAGAATGTGTGAAAGCGTAATGTGTGTAGTTGTACGATAAGGTTAAGATAGTAGTTTGTGACGATCCGGAAAATCGTCACGACGTTAATAGCAGTATTGATAATATTAACAAAGAAACACCGAACCGCGCGCGGAATAACCGCAAGGTCAACAAACAGTCGCACTGTTTGTTATAATTCAGTATAAAAGGCCGTTACAAAATTGATATCGGGAGAGATTGATCGAAAAGCTCCTCTCAGGCGCACGACCAACCAGAACTCGAAACTCCTAGAGATTCTAGACATCCTGCCGACCGAAGTGGATACGCGACGTCGGTTCCTATCCACACATCGCTCCGTCGACCGAGGTGGATACGCGACGTCGACATCCTTTCCCCGATACCGCTCTATCGACCGAAGTGGATACGCGACGTCGGTTTCCTATCCAGACACCGCTCCGTCGACCGAAGTGGATACGCGACGTCGACATCCTTTCCTCGAGACCGCTCTACCGACCGAAGTGGATACGCGACGTCGGTTTTCCTATCCAGACACCGCTCCGTCGACCGAAGTGGATACGCGACGTCGACATCCTTTTCTCCTCGCACTACGCCACTAACACCTACGATTGCGAACACATACAGGACGTAAGATACCGGTGACGACGAGCGCCTTTAAACCAGCCAGGAAAATCAGGACAAATAAACAGATTAAAGCCGACGAGGCAACGAACTCCGAACGATGAACAATAGCGTACCAAGAAACAATCCCGACCGCGTCCCGCCGGACGCTTGCGCGCCTCGACGCTCGCAGCTGATCGCGAGACGACAACAACGGCTCCCGACGAGAGCAAAAACGCGACCACGCGCCAACGGCGTAACGTCGCCTGTAAATAATTGTAAATAGCCTTGAAATTAGAATATAGTTCCACATTATTATCACCTATACCACCGGTTTTCATTTTACGAACGAAACCCGGACCACACCGGCTAAAGCGTGGTCTACAATGAGAACTTAAGAAAAAATACTTAAGCTTTAAAACTTAAGCCGCACATTTAAGACATAAGCTGTTAAGTTGTAGTGTCTACAATAGACTTCGCAAGCCCACAGCTTTAAGCTTTAACGACTACAAAGAACCAATCAGAAAGCAGATTGTTTCGCAGACGCATGGGGCAGTGTAAAGCGCACGTTTATAAACGCTATGATTTTATAATGGAAGAAGACGATGATTTTATGTTCTTTTTTGTGGCAATTGCATGGGTGCAAAGGATAACATGTTATTTGTTGTTAAAAAGATGCAACATTAGAAATCGGAGATGGTGGATGATGCCTGATAAGCGAGAGAGATCTCATCTGGGAGTATACACTACTTTGTTTTTGAGGTATAAACACACGAATCATGAAGAATTCTTCAAAATGACAAGACTTACAGTTGAACAATTTGAAGAACTGCTCAATTTGATTAGCCCTGCCTTGATAAAGAACAGCATACGAGAATATTTGGATCCTGCATTTCGTCTAGCATTTACAGTGTGGTAAGTTATATTGAGCAATGAAATATTCACATACATTCTCTTCATCTTCTATTAAACTGCATGTTTGCACTTTTTCATAGCTTTCTAGCATCAGGAGACAGTTTGGTTTCAATGGCCAGATGTTGGCGTATAGGCAGGTCAACATCTTATAATGTTGTTATTGAAACGTGCAATGCTATTTGGCAATGTCTTCGAAGGATATATTTGAAGAATCCTTCTCAAGAAGAGTGGAAAAATATTGAGAAAGACTTTTATAATAGATGGAATTTCCCCAACTGTGTCGGGGCTTTGGATGGAAAGCACATTCGTGTGCAATGTCCACCCAACTCTGGTTCAGCGTATTATAATTACAAAGGATATTACAGTATGGTATTGCTAGCTACATGTGATGCAAATTATGCTTTCACTTCTGTAGATATTGGAGATTATGGTGAGAATATGCATCATATATATTTAATATTAGTCTACAAATAGAGAAATAACAAATTTTTAAATGTACATATCCAATTAATGATATATGTTTGCTTCAGGATCATTGTCAGACACAAGTATTCTCAGTGCATCGGCATTTGGACAAGCTCTGGAACGTGATGAATTAAATCTGCCACCCCCAAAAGTATTGCCAAATTCAACATTACTAGCTCATTACTATTTCGTGGGTGATGAAATTTTTCCGTTACGATTAAATTTACTTCGACCATATGCAAGGAAAAACTTATTAGGGGTCGCCGAAAAAGTTTTCAATTATAGACTCTCCAGAGCGCGACGTGTTATTGAGAACGCTTTTGGAATTCTCGTAACCAGGTGACATTATCGCTTTATTTTAATAATTTGACTTAGACTTTTATTTCTTATCATTAAATTATACACAGAAATCAATGTATACAGCTATATATATGCTTGTTAGGTGGAGAGTGCTAAGAACTACATTAGCCCTAAATCCGGATAATGTGGAGGCTATAATTTCTGCTACAATTTGTTTACACAACTTTATAATGAAAAATGAAGAACACATTGTTGGATTCCAATCATACTGTCCATCTGGTTATGTTGACTATTTTGATGACAATGGCAATGTCATTCCTGGCTCTTGGCGAGAAGAAAACACTCCTGCGTGTGTAACACGACTCAATCGAGTAGGATCTAACCGTGCTGCCACAATTGCAATGAAGCAACAAGACGCAATAGCTGCATATCTCATCTCAAATCAAGGACAAATTCCTTG